CTGACAGCCCTGCAGCTCCAGCAGTCTCTTGCTCAGGCTTGTGTGGTGCTGCCACCGGTTCAGTTCGTTCCCCTCCCCTGCTACCACTTTTCTAGGAGGGTCACATACCACCTGCCAGGTGCCAATGTACCACAGGTGGTACCCGTACCACTGGTTGAAAAGCCCTGCTCTAAGAGACTTGTTGACAGTTTTGAAAATAGATAAGATATAAAATAACCTTGAAACACCATCTGCAAAACTTCGCTCAGCTTCCCATTTGGTGGACTTTCTGACTGTCAGTTTCTTTTTCTTGAGTTTAATATACTGCAATGGAAGGAGAGCAGGAAATGATTTCTTCTAAGGAGGAAGTACAGGAACAAATTCTTTGTATGTTAAAAGCGATGATCCAAACTCTACGTATGCAAGCTCTGGATATACAAACTCAAACTATGACTTCAACCAAATAATTATCTATACAGAATTCTATAGAGAAAATGAAACAACCAAATGTTATGACAGAAGACTTAGATACTCAACAAATACAGACAACAGAAAACACAAAAAAGAAATTGATAATAGAGAACAAGAGAAGGACTTTTCTTATAAACCAGAAGGAATTTGAAAATAAACAAGAAAAACAGATGAAAGAGAAGATAAATACTTCGGGACAACTGCATCGAACTGGAAAAATAAAGAGACTACCGGCTAAATCAACTAGTCCTCTTAAGAAAACATCAATTGGACGTTCTTATCAATATCAAACAATAGCCACAACAATACAAGGATATTTTTTTGACGATTTAAAGGCAAAAATACAAAAAATTACCTGGCAGAGGAAAAAAGCTAGAATAAGATTGAAAAAGATTGGGGTTCTGATCTATATATGAGATCTAAAATAGAATATATCTAAATAGATAGAATATATATTCTGAACACAAGACATTGTAACGATTTGAGATAAAGAAAATTTTGGTTATATAAAATCTAGAAATGTTGAAATAAGAATATTATATTGTCATTAGATGAGTAAGATAGATGGTAGAATTTATATATAAGGTGTGTATTTTAAATATTAGAGTGTATGAGTAATTGGGAGAAAAGAATTGTGTTTAATTAAAAATTTGGAAAAAATAAATATTAAATGTTAAATTAAAATATTAAAGGAAAACTAACCATCAGGTCACTGGTTGGCTAAAAATCTGAATGTCTACAAATAACTAAGATTTGAATTTAAAACATTGTTATGAGTTGAGACAAAGGTTAAGTAAAATTTAAAAGTATAAGTACTGATAATTAAATTTGTATATGGGTTTGTGGTATAAATGTTGGTGGTTTTTTTAAAAAAAATTTTTCTCTTTCTGGAAAGGAAGAAAGGAAGGAAGTAGAAGGAAGAAAAGAAAAAAAATTATTAGTTCCAAATGTGAGATAGGAGACTTAGAAATTGGGATCATTTAAAACCTGGAAATGATAAAGACTAAACGTTAAACTTAAATATCAATGGGAAGTTAAAGTTAAGAAAAACTTACTAGGTTATTGTCTAAAAGGTGGAATGTCAAATTAATTAAGATATGTATAGACTGAAGATTATTGATGAATATTAGAAAGGTATTTTTTGTTTGATTAATAGAATAAGAACTGTATTGGTTTGAATATGACAGTAGATATTATGGGGGAAAGAGGGGGAATTAGTTTGTTGTAATAATTTGAGATTTGTACTGATGATATTCAAATGTAATGGAATTACTGTGCTCAGCCGCCATGCTACTTTTCAAATATGTAAATGTAATATTGTAAAATCAATAAAAAACTTGAAAAAAAAAGAATGTGACCCTCTGGGTGGTTGGTATATATAACATTTCCCCCACCCAAGGCAGTCCGTCCTTGATTGTGCACACGTGTCTATTTTTCTGGAACCATTCATCTGTTTCCAAAGTTTTCCGGAATTCGATTCTGGTTTGGCTACCCAGCTGCGTTTTTAATTTAGCTTGGGCTCTGGTAGTTACTGGCGCTGCCAGTTGTGGTTTCGCCATAAGTGGTTTAGCATCAGTGGCTCACATGCTGTTATATTGGGGCATGCAAGACAGTTCATCTGCCAAGAAGTACTTTCCCCCTGGCAAGTGCTTGAGCGTAAAGTGGAATTGATGAAAATGCTGGGACCAGCGGGTTTGCTTGGGGTTGAGCTTCCGGGTGTTTTCAAGGCTTCCAGGCTTTTGTGATCTGTTTACACCTGAAAAGGGATTTTATTCCCTTCAAGGAAATGGCGCCACATAAATATCAATGGGTAATGACAACGTATCCCGTATGCCTCTTTCTCCAACATGGGCCAGTGCTGTTCCATTTCGGTGAGTTTCTTGGACGTATACGTGCATGGTTGCAATACCCCTTCATCGTTTTCTTGTAATAGTACAGCCCCCACTGCCACATCACTTGCCTCTGCCTGTATTATGAAAGGCTTATCCATGTCTGGATGCCTCAGTATGGGTTCGGCAGAAAAAAGTCTCTTTAATCTCTCAAATGCCGCTTGGCATTCCATTGTCCATTTTAGTGGCTGGCTAGGTTTCACTGAGGATTCTCCCTTCATTTTTAGTAAGTTCATGAGGGGCAGGGCTATGTGGGCAAATGAGGGAATGAATTGGCGGTAAAAGTTTTCGAAACCCAGGAAACTTTGCAGCTGCTTCCTTGTGTGATGTGGTGCCCATTCTAATACTGCTCTGACTTTCTCTGGGACCATTTCAATGCCCTGTGGGGATATGCGACAACCAGGTAGTCTATTCTTTCCTGGTGGAATTTGCATTTCAATAATTTGGCATATAGGTGGGCAGCTCGCAGTTTCTTTAAAACCGCTCTGACTAGATTGACATGTTCCTCTTTGGATTCGGTGAAGATAAGATAAACCAGGACACCCTTAAATAGGTGCTCCCTTAGTACCTTGTTGATTAATTGCATAAATACTGTGGGGGGCCCTTGTAGTCGAAACGGCAAAACTTTGAATTGGTAGCACCCCATTGGGCAATTAAATGCGGTTTTCCATTCATCCCCTTCCTTAATTCTAACGCGGTAATACGCTTCCCTTAGATCTAATTTAGGGAAAATTTTCCTTTTGAGAGGTGGGATAACAGGTTCCAATTCCCCCTCAGTGTCTCTCCAGCTGCAGCTCCAGGCGCTGGTGTGGCCTCAGGGCTCAGAATTCTCCTCCCCTAGAGAGCTGAAGGTTCCTTTCATCAGGTCAATAGCTTTCTCTAGGATCCAGTTCGAGTGTTGTGCCCAACTTCCTTCCTCTTCACTAATGTGCAGGGATTTCTCCATTTCCTGCTTCCATTCTGGTTGGTGGCCGCCCCGTCTCAGGGTCACCTTTCTCAATCTCTTTTCCCACTCGCCTTTCTTTCCAACGCCCATTGACCACTGAGGTTTGTGGTTACGCGTCTCCACCATCTCTTCTCCTGAGGAGTATGACATTTCAGATCCCGACAGCTGGCAGGTTTTTGGTCGGGGGGATGGCTCCCTCTCCGTGGGGTTTTCTCCCTTCCCTGCCTCGTCATCTGACATTGTATTTTTTGCAAAGTCCCCTGGCAAGGTTCTTCCTTCCAGATTGACTATTACTGCAGATCCTGTCTAATGTAAGGAACCACTTCAATCCACATCTTAAGAAAGCAGAACTCTTGGAAACGGTCTCTTCCAACAGGAACTTTTATTAAGAAAAATTGATAGCAGGCATGATAGACAGGATCTGAGGTATTTCCTTACAAATCGATGTTTTAGAGTGTTCTAAGCAACCCCCACCCCGCAGTTTTTCCGGCGATTCAGACCGGCAGATTTCTAGGTGTTAAATCCAGGAAAGATAACATCAATCCGGTTCTGTTGTGCAGGATCATTCAACAGCTCCTCACACCTTATTTTGATGACAGATAAATAAACCAGATCCCAGAGGCTGTGTCTTTTCACCCCCGTCCCTTTTTCTAGCTGTCTGGTAAGGAGGAGAAGTTCAGAGGGGCATAGAATGAAAGGCAAATAGTTACACTGTGATGGTTAGCATACCTGAAAGCGAATAAATAAAAGATTACTTTGTAGTGAATAGAAGAAGTGAAAGTATTAAAGCCCGCATGCATACCCCCTCCCCCTTAGGAATATGGCAGGATCCAGGAGAGGGTAAGAATTGGTTTTATATCAGAGAAGATAGATAGAAAGGAAATATAATTGGATTCTGACAGTGTGTTTGTCTTGCACTTGCTGTTGTTTCTTTAAAATTATTTATTTTTTCATGCTAATTAGTACAATGACAAACACTACTCCAGTCTGCTATTATGAAACTTTACTAGATGGGAAAATGCATGGGTATCATTAATGGAATGCTGGTGGTAGTAGGCATTCATACAGCATTTGACTTAGTGAAGAACAGTTCTGGTCTTAATTCTACTGTTGGAAAGAGAGGACCAGGAGTTCTACAACTGAATGCTGTTGTTACTGCCTGATCAACTTCGCTGGCACCTTAAGTCAGGTTCATCCTTCCTCTTCATTTACACCCTCTCATTTTAATAACATTAAGTTATTTGTATTTGCTTTATTTTTAAATTTGTATAATTGTGATTATTAGTTAGAAATAAAAGAAAGTGATTTTTAATTTATATATTTACTTACTTATTTACTTATCTATCACATTTATATAATCACCCATCTCTTGTAGTTACTCTGGATGGTGTATAAAATAAAACAATCTGTATTGATAAAAACCAATTAAAAATCAATCAAAATACATTAAAAAGATAAAAACAGAATGGTGAAAAAACATACAGAAAGTACATTTAATCAGTCACCATGTAACCATCTAGCAGTGCACTATATCAAGAGATCATCAGGCCAGTTGACAAAACCATGATTTGAGAGCCTTCTGGAGGACCACTCCAGATATTTCTGGAGTGAAATATCAGGCAGCATTTTGTTATTGTTTCAGGTAAATTTATAATAAATGGTTTTGAAATGTCACATTAATAAATTTTGATGGTGATTTGTTCATCGGATTACAGGAAACAGTGACAATGGATTCTTCAGGAAATTTATGTTCTGTAATGTTGGCACCATCATTATCTCTTGGGAACTTATCAGGGACAACTGCAAGCTTTGAAATAAAGAAGCGGAGAGCACCTCCTCTACCTGTAATTCCACCCTTTTCAGGTGGGGAAGCTGGCAGAGAAGAAAAAATGCCAAGTCCGGTAAGAAACATAATTTAAATACAAATTGAATGATAAGTATTCAGGAAATTTCCTGATCTGCAAGTGCGAGCTGGATAGGATAACAGAGAATAACCAATAAGCAGATAGTAGCAATGTTTAAATCCCTTACAAAAATACTTTAGAGAAAACAAGTAGTCACAATCTGAAATTATTAGCCAGTATTCAGCTGATGCAATTGCTTTTAAAAGTTTGATTCCTGCTCAGAAAGTCTAAGTTGAATATCAGATTCAGGGTTTAAGAGAGTTAGAATATAGAATAGAATAGAGTTGGAAGAGACCTTAGAGGTCTTCTAGTCCAGCCCCCCGCACAAGCAGGAGAACTTATACCATCTCAGACAAGTTACTGTCCAGTCTCTTCTTAAAAACCTCCAGTGATGGAGCACCCACGATTTCTGAAGGCAAGCTGTTCCACTAGTTCATTGTCCTCACTGTTAGGAACTTTCTCCTTAATTCCAGGTTGCTTCTCTCTTTGATCAACCATTATTTCTTGTGCTGCTCTCTGGTGCTTTGGACAATAATTTGATGCCCTCTTCTTTGTGACAGCCTCTCAAATACTGGAATACTGCTATCATGTCACCCTTATTTCTTCTTTTCTTTAGACTAGCCCAGGGGTAGGCAACCTTGGCTCTTTTATGACTCATGGACTTCAACTCCCAGAATTCCCGAGCCAGCCATGCTGAGGGGAAGGGAGAGGTTTCCAAGCTGAGCCATGCTGGCTCAGGAATTCTGGGAGTTGGCGTCCACGAATCATAAAAGAGTCAAGGTTGCCTACCCCTGGACTAGCCAAACCCAAGTCCTGCAACCATTCTTCATATGTTTTATGATCATCTTAGTTGCTCTTCTCTGAACTTTTTCCAAAGTCTCAACATCTTTTTTGTAGTATGGTGACCAAAATTGGTTGCAGTATTCCAGGTGTGATCTCACTAGGATTTTATAAAGCGATACTAATACTTTGTGTGATCTTGATTTTATGCCTCTGTTTATGCAACCCAGGATTGTATTAGCTTTTTTGGCTGCTGCTGCACATTGCTAGCTCATAGTCAAGTGATCATCCACTAGGACTCCAAGGTGCCTCTTACAATTACTGTTTTTGAGCCAGGTCTAATCTAATCTGTACTTATATTTTTTATTTTTCTTTGCTTTTCTCCACATTGAAACTCATTTTGTTGGATAGGGCCCATTGTTCCAGTTTGTCAAGATCTTTTTGAATCCTGAGCTTGTCTTCTGTGGTGTTGGCTATTCCTGCCAGTTTAGTGTCATCTGCAAATTTGATGAGTTCCCTTTCTATTCCCTCATCTAAGTCATTGATGAAGATATTGAAGAGTACTGGGCCTAAGATGGAGCCTTGTGGTACCCCACTGCTTACTTCTCTCCATGTGGATGTAGTACCATTGAGGACTACTCATTGAGTACCATTTGTCAGCCAGTTACAGATCCATCTGGTGGTGATATTGTCTATTCCACCTTTTTCTAGCTTATCAAGCAGTAGATTGTGGTCTACTTTGTTGAATGCCTTACTGAAATCTAAGTATACTATGTCCACAGCATTTTGCTGGACTACTAATTCGGTCCTTGGAATTTTTGTGTAAACTGGTACAATAGGTATTGGTCTCACATTGTTTCAGGAATTCTTCCCTTAGGAGAAGGGTTTGTAATAGGCTCCTTCCCATAATTTTTCTGAAATGAGGTGATAGAATTCACTTTGATGAGCCTATAAGGAAATTGAAAAAGAACTTCTGGCTAATTTTGATAGTGATCCACATTAAAAAAAGAAGAAAATGTAGAAATCAAGGACTCCTAGAAATTAGGAGCTATATTGCTTTTTTCAAATGTCTTGTTCAAGATAATGTATGTCATAACATTGCTCCATATGGTTTTTAGGCTGACATCATTTAACTTCCTATTGACCATATACAGGACATTACACATTCTTTTCAAGTTGATTTTATGGGTGTGATGTAGCAAAGAAGACATAGAACAGAATGTCTAGCTCTATCGTTGGAGTCTTGGAGAAATGGAATTGCTGACTTGGAGATATTTCTAATGTGTCAGACCTTAACCATATAGATTGGTTTTTTTAGTTATCTTTTAATGGATCCAGTAATATTTAAAAGGCAATGCTTTTCTTTCTGGAACTTGTATGTTTAAAAACATTCCAAAAAGTAATTGTATGAGTCCAAATTCAGGAGTGGGTATCTATTTTGGTTTATTATAGTAAAAATATTTAAAATTAAAAGATATAAGCATAGAACATATTAATTTAGATTCTTTTTCATCAAATGCAGGGTAGCTAATCATAATCTAATGCTGAAACCCCAAAATAGCAGTATATAAAGTATTTAAAAGAAAGAGACTTAACAAAAGAGGAGGTGGAGTTGCATTATATGTAAGAAATCACTAAACCTTTACAGAAATGTATAAAACCAAGGATGAAAGCCTCCTTGAATGCATATGGTTTAATATAAAAGGAAAATAGGAAACGGAAAATAGAATGATATTGCCATACTACATGCCACTCAACCAAGCAGAGGAAATAGATGAACTGTTTGCTAATCAGTTATCTAAATGTATGTAGGAAACACACCACTGTAGTAATGGGGGACTGCATTATATGTTGTGGTATTTAAAAAAAAACAGAATGGAGGGAATTGAATTTGCTCCATATTGATGATATGAAAATCTAGATTCCCCAGATCAGACAGGGCTGCCATGGCAATAGTTTTTTTTCTCAAGTATTGTCAGTTGTCTTGGGTAGTTGTAAATACCAGAATAATTAAAGATGTGACTGCTTTACATGGTGCCACTAGAGTTACTCTCAGGACATCCAGTCTTTAGATAATATCATCTTATTTTGAATCTGGCAGGGCACTGAAGAGTTAATGATATTTTTTTTCCAGAAGGTCATTGATTTTGTTGCAGAAAGAGCAGATTTTTTGCTTCAACAATCATGGGGGTGGGGGGTGAGGAGCTGAGTTAATAAAGTGTCCTCTAGGGGTTCCGGATCGCGGTGTCTCTAGTCACACGAAGAGACTCGTCTCCTCGTCAGCTAGTTTCCCTCTGCCGGTAGACCCTTATGCAGGTCAAAAGTCGCCCTGGAGGGTGAGACTTCTGTCGATGAGGCTTCGCTCGGCTGCGGAGGAGTGGCGGCTCTTCCAGCTGTCCGAGCCAACTCTGAGGGCCGACGGAGAAGAAGATCGGCCAGTAAAATGGCTGATCACCCAGCCGCTCCAACTGCAAGTCAAAGAACATCTAAGCATTAAGAACCACTGTGGTGAACCTGGGTGAGACTTTTCTCTTGCTCCTCTCTTCACTCTATCCTGCTTTTTTTTTTTTTTTTTTTTGCCTGTAAGAGCTTTGTTGGAATTATTTCCCTGCCTTGAAAAAGCAGCTTTTATATGTTTGGGAAAAAAGGCGTTGAACAAAAGAATAGCACAAAAATTTAAAGACTATACTCTATTTTTATTTGCTTTGCAGTACAGAAAAAAATATTTCTTAAGAGCTATACTATCATTTTATCCTGGAGGACTATTTCTTTATTTTAAAAGATAGAAAAAAAAGGGGGGGGAATGGTATCTGGAAAAGATCTTTTTTTAATCTATTGAGGACATCTAGTGGCGAAAACCTAATACTGCAACTTCTGGTTATTCTTTGGAGATGGAATAGACTTGACCTTCAAATTACTTTTGAAGAGAAAAGATAAGCTGATGCAGCTGTGGGAATTGTGGGGGTGGATACTACTTAACTTTCATTAGCCTCCACAAAAAGAAAAAGAGAGACTCACTTCAATTAAAATGGAGAAAGCTAATTCACAATTAAACTGTAAACTTATATTGGAAAAGATCTATGAGGCTACTGCAGAAATATGCGCTACAATGAAAGAGTTTACTACAGAATTAAGAACCAGAAGTTTTACTTCAAACCTTCAAACTGATCTCCAGACTACATCTGACCATTCTATAAATCAAAACATACTAGAAGAGGAAACAACTGAAATCAAAGAGGAATTTATTTTATCTTATAAACATTCCATCTATAGCTTTGAGGATCAGAAGAATCAAAGATTGAGACTTGAAACTTTAAAGCAAAGAAGCTTTAAGGATGAGAGAAATAGATGCCTATTGCAGAGGATGGGATTCCTATCATTCCAAAAGGCATTGCAAGCAATAAAGAGAGATCTATCGGCTGAAAGGGAAGCTTGGTTATGGAAACCTGCCTGGCACAGAAAAAAGGCCAGAATAAGACTGAAAAGAGAAATTTAAAATTATGTGTAATGGATTAAAAGGCACTGTTGATTTATGGACTGTTTTGAGGATTAAGATTCAGAGTTAGAAGTAAGAAGAATGTAGTTTTTGGAATAATAGGTTTATTTTGATGAAAATTATTATGTATTGGAATGGAAAAAATGGTGGCTTTTTAGATTTGGATTGTTTCAATAATTAATTGAATGTTTTATATTAGTAAGATGATGTTTTCATCTGATAATATAGATGTGATAAGGCATAATAATTAATTGGATGAAATTTGAATTTTGTCTAGTGAATTTTGTTTAATATTATTTTGTTATCTTAAAGAGATTGATTGATTGATGGATTATATATGTATAGGGTAGATTAATATTTTATTTTAATTAGGATATGTAATGTGTAGTGGAAGAAGAAATAAATGAGACTTGTGATAAAATGAGGGATGTGAGAGATTAAGAATCAGAATATATTTGGAAGGGATACCTGAATTGATAACCTGTCGATTTAAAGTTAAATTTGATTATGGTAATTGTAAATTTACAAAGTTTTAAAATAGGTTTAACAGTTATAGAAATTTAAATTAGAAATGGAATATCTTAAATGTATTATGTTATTTGAGGGAAATAGAGAGGGGACATTGAATGTATTGAGTTACCTATATATGGTTTTATTTTTGGATGTTTGATTACCCCAACACCACGGTGTGTCCTGAGCACTTTGTTCTAAGAATTAAAAA